AGCACTTTGATTTATTTGTTTAGTCTTATAATAGATCTCAAAGAGTTACAGGCTTGCTTTGTCATATAAGTGCAAAAACACACTACAAGGAGTCCAGCGTCATTCTCCCAGCACTATCCAAGCTTGAGGGTGTATAGTAAGTGCTGTGTTTATCAGTTCTCTCTGCTGGCTTTGCAGTGTCTCCTTTAGTTAATATTCTTAAAACTTCAGGTTCCTTTTGCTCACTCCTACCACTGTTTTTCTGCAGCCACAGCCCTGAAATAGGATCAGGTTGATTGGTGTCAGTAGACTAGAAGTCACAAACTAACAACTTTTTTTTAAGATTAATTATTTACGTCAAAGCAGGCTACTGTCTGCTTGGTGTTTTTGTAGTCTGTGAGCATGGCTGCTACATTCTTCTTGCCCTGTTCTTGTCACTGCAGTATTGTGAGTTTCACCGCTCTCACATGAAGTGCTTATGGCTTTGTCGTAGCTATAGATGTGTTTGCTTTTGTTTTCTGGTTACATTGAGGGCTTTTATGGGGGAGATTTAGAGAGTCAAGTCATGCTTCCATTCTGATATCCTCCTGGAACAAGTGCTTAGTTATGTGAAGAAAGTCTTAAAATTGTATTATTGGTTTTTGTTTCACATATTAGGGGAAGCAGTTTCCATATGAAAGTTTAATAGAAAGGGTATGTGCTTTTTTCCACTTATTTGCAAACTTTATAATAAATTTTATGAAATAAATAAAAGCACATAAATATAAGCCCATTTTATCTTAAAAATAAAAAAATGATTCATTCTTTGAATAGCTTTATGTGCATATTTGTGGTAAAATATTTAGTTCCTTATGGAAACCTGTTCATACAGAATTTCAAAATTTGTTTATAAGAGGGGATAATTTAGGTGTTAAAATTCTACTTTGCATTTATTTGTGAATCCTCCAAGATTATTATGCAGGAAAAGTAGCCCCTTTTATGGTTAAATTTTTCATTTTTAAGAATGATGCTTGCCGGGCAGTGGTGGCGCACACCTTTAATCCCAGTACTCGGGAGGCAGAGGCAGGCGGATCTCTGTGAGTTTGAGGCCAGCCTGGTCTACAAGAGCTAGTTCCAAGACAGGAACCAAAAGCTACGGAGAAACCCTGTCTCGAAAAATCACACAAAAAAAAAAAAAAAAAAAAAATAGTTCTAAACACTTATAATAATATTTTTTTAACATTTTAATGATTTTCATTTGGCATTTATTTTGTTCTATACTTTTAATACAGTCTTTTAAATCTATGTCAGATAATCACTTTATATTTTATTGAAATTTATCTTGTCTCAATATTATAATGGAACATAATAGTAAATCAAGCATTTGTTATATTTTCAGTACTTGACAAATTTTATTATCCTGTCTCAGAAAAGTAATTATTTATTGGTATAATTACCCATTATTTTTTCTTTAAAACATCTTTTTTATTTAAAAAAAAAAAAGACTTGTTCTTTCATATATTACACCCTAACCATAGTTTCTCTCCACTCCTTTCCATCCTCTCTCCCCCAGATCCACTTTTCCCTTTCCGATTAAAAAAAAAAAAAAGCACGCCTCCCAGGGGTATCCACTGAACATGGCCTAACAAGCTATAGTAAGACTGGGTCCTCCCTCCCTCCCTCCCTCCCTCCCCCCCCCCCTCCCTCCCTCCCTCCCTCCCTCCCTCCTTCCCTCCCTCCCTCCCTCCCTCCCTCCCTCTTTCCATTTATTCAAGGTTAAAGCCAAAGAGCTCAGCTGAAATCTGTTTTCAGGACAAATTGGCCTGTTCAGGGATCCCTTCACTTAAAGTCTCAATTTGATCATGTGGCATTGTGTAAAGTGTGTGGGATGGGGTAGGATGGATGTCGGGTGTCTTTATCACTCAACACTTAGTTTTTGAGACTTCTGTTATTCAACCTGGAGCTCCTCCTATATTTCACGGAGAGCCAGTGAACCCCAGGTTCTGCCTGTCTCCCCTTCCTACCCCTGCACTGGTGATAGAGGCACATGCCACCATCCCCGACTCTTCATGTGAGTGATGAGAGTCTAAACTCAAATTCAAGCAACTACTCCTGGAGCCATTTCTCTAGCTTAGATGATTGACATTGAACAGGAGTGACTTCATTTTGGTTTAGTAGTTTGTTCTTTGGGGGCTTAATAGAGGAACTCAGTCCAGAACATGGCTTCCTGTAATGATTCTGGGTTTTGTCTATAAGTTTTCTTATTCTAAAACTTTAGTGTGGATGAAATTATGTGTTCATTTTTGGATGGCTACTTTGACTTAGCAACCTTTCATTGTATCCGTACTGCAGAGCGCTCTAGTACTTGTTTTGTTGCCATATAATATTTCTTTGGAGTAGAATTTCTAAGTCATATGTTAATTTTTAAGCAACTGACAAACTTTCCTTCAAAGTGACTGTACCATTTTACATTTAAATAGGTATGAAGATCCAGGTTTCTCCATAACCCCACCAACACCTCTTAAAAAACAGTTCTTTTTAAAGATTATAGCTACTCTAGTCGGCTTGAAATGGTTTGAGTTGCATTATTCTCCTGGCTTATAACAAGTGTGCCATGTGCATGCAGCGTTCGTGGAGGCCAGGGAGGGTTTGATGCTTTGGAGTTACAAATAGTTGTAAGATGTAGGTGCTGGGAACCAGACCCAGGTATTCTTTCAAGAGGACAGCAGGAGTTACAAATAGTTGTAAGATGTAGGTGCTGGGACCAGACCCAGGTGTTCTTTCAAGAGGGCAGCAAGGGGTTAATTACTGAGCCCCTCTCTTGCCTGTGCTTAAATTGTGTTATTTTAGTTTTTATTGCTATGTTGTAACTTTTTTCCTCCTAAATACTTGATCTTTATCAAATTCATTTGAAAATATTTGCTCCTGTTCTGGGAATTGTCTCATTTATGTGATGGTACCCTTTGAAATATAAAAATAATTCACAATAGGTTTTGTTGTTTTATTTCTTTGTTAGGACCTATTTCACGACCTTGTACCTGTTTTAGGCAGTGCTCTGCTACTGAGCTAGATACCAGCCTTTTGTGAATCTAATTTTATGTCTTTCTTTTATTTTGATACTTACACTTTGTGTCATAATAAAGCGTAGTGTATGTAGTCTAGGGCATGATTTTGTTTTTCTTTTGAGTTTTGTAATTTTTTTATATCTCACATTTAATAATGTGACTACTTTGAGTTAAAATTTTTCTGTCTGTTATGTTATTTTAAAAACATTTTGAATTCACTATGAAAAAATGTAAAATAGCTTATGATCTGAGGAGTAATTCCTAAAAGCTCCACTCTCTGGTTCGTGACTCCTGACCATTAGCACATCTGTCTAGAGCCTGGAGCTCGGCTTGCTGGAGAAGCCAGAGGCAGTTCGCTCTCTGAACAGATGGTGGCAGCAGAGCTTCAGTGAATGAAAATTGTGGTTATTCTAAAAAGTCAGCCATTTTAAAGTTAGGAATTTCTTGATGTGTTTGACCTGTCTTCTTTTTGGTAATAGTTTATTAGGCACTAAGTTTAAAGTCTTTTTAAAAGATTCTTTAATATTTATATTTAGGAACTTTGTCCCCCACTGTCAAAAATTATTTGGGATTCTCAGTTTATGAACCAGTTCGTGAGATATGACTGTGATCTGGTGAGCTTGCCCAGTGCCTCCAAACTTAGGACACAATTTTCTCAAATGTCCATGGTGTATTTTTCCACTTTTCTTTTGTTATTTCATTCCTGCCTGTGCTCTTTACATAGTGATAAAGTAATAGAGTAATGGCGAAAATGCTGGTAAATACTAAAGCTATTCATAAGCTCATTCCAGAGACAAGCTGGCAGGTTACAATCTGATTATGAGGGTGCATATTATAGAAGTTAGACTTATGGATAATACCCTTGTTTTAATCCAGTAATAAAAGTTTTATGTCATCTCAGAATTAGAGCTGTGTCTTTATAACTGAATATTAAGCATGGCTAGGTGTTTTCTTTATTCTGTGGCTGTTGTTTTCAAGATAGTGGAAGAGTCTGAAGAGATGGCTCAGTGATTAAGATCACTGGCTCATCTTCCAGAGGGCCCTGGTTTGATTCTCAGCACCCACAACTGTCTGTCACTCTACTTCTGGAGGCTCTGACTCCCTCTTGGCAGCAGGCATGCACTTGGAATACAGAAAGATATGCAGGCAAAACATTGATAACCATTTTTTTAAGTTTTATTTATTTATTTATTAAAGATTTCTGCCTCCTCCCCGCCATCTCCTCCCATTTCCCTCCCCCTCCCCCGATCAAGTCCCCCTCCCTCGTCAGCCCAAAAAGTAATCAGGGTTCCCTGCCCTGTGGGAAGTCCAAGGAACACCATTTTTGTAAAGGGAAGAAGTAACAAATATTGAGCACTTATTGTTTGTTTAGCCCTATGTTAAGTACTTTATGTGTTAAAAAACTAAGTATGCTTTATGTATATTGTCTTTTAATTTTAAAAATAGTTCTTCCAGAAAAGTAAGTAATCTTTTTTTTTTCTATTTTTATTCTAAAATTTCCAGAGAGGGAAAGAGATTGGGAAAGCAAATTATTTAACTAGGGTCACATTTGGTGGTAAAGTCAATATGCGTGCAAATACTCAATTGTAGTGCCCTTCTGCATATTAAATTTTACAGAAATGATATGTACCTATATGCATCACTCTCCAAATTGTTTCACTTTTAAATCCAAAAGTCTTTCTTGAAAGGCTCTGTCTTGCTTACTGTAACATAGAGATATCTGGCTAATTGTTTTACCTCATGATTACATGGTTCTGTTTGTTTAAAACATCGAACACCAGCTGCCTAGTGGTGCTCTAACTTGAGCCTTACTTTCTTGGCTTTTCCACTAGAGGGTGTAACAAATGTTTCTTTTTTTGTTACTGTTATTAAAATAGTAATGGAATAATACATTGCTTCTCCTTGTGATTATGAGAAAGGAGATATTTATTGCATATGACTGGTACAGTACCCTGCCTGTTCTGTCTTTTTCTGCAGGTTGTTCATTTTTGGATCCTATGACAGAGAAGCAAATGTTCATTGCACACTTGAGTTGAGCAGTGGTGTTTGGGAAGAAAAACAAAGGAGTTCTATTAAGACGGTAAAATGGGTAGCTTTACATTCGTGTAAGATTTATTCTGTGAGCATGCCTTTCTTAGTGCTTCCTCATTCTTAGATTTACTGTTGCTCGTAAGCAGACAGTTGTTGTCTGGAACAGTGACCAGCAGCACCGTCACGAGTGAAATAGATCACCTGGAGCTGGATTGGGCAGACTGAACAAGAAGCAATCCGTTCAGCTTTCTTTTAAAAATGTTAGTGCTGTTTCAGGTAAAGAATCAGAGGTTGTAATTTGTGTATTGTGTAGGTGCACATGTAAATTCACATGTAAGAAGCCAGAGTTCCTTGGAATTCCTTAGATGCATCTACCTTTGTTTTTTTCAGACAAGGTCTCACACTGGCCTGAAGTTCACCAAGTAGGTTAGGTTGGCTGACCAGTGAGCTCAGAAATCCACCTATCTTTTCCTCTTTCGTGTGACCAGGCTTGATTTTAAAAAATTAAACAAAACAAAAACCAAACAAACATGGGTTCTTGGACATCTACCTTAGAGTCCTTATGCTGCAGAGGCAAACACTTTACAGACTGAGCTATTGCCCCAGCCCCAGCCCCAGAATGAATTAGATTTACTGAATGCCTCAGAAGGCTTGTAAGTTCACATTTATTAGCTCAGCAGCATCTTATGAACAGTGTTGCTCTGTGCTGGGCACTGTTTGTGCTGGAGAAGCAGTGGAAGACGAGAAGAGGCCCTGTTCCTGTGGGACTAGTGTCAGCTACAGTGTGAGACGGTAGAGGACTGCGGTAGAGGAGGAGCTGTCAGTAAACCAGGAGAGTGAAGCTGGCTGTCGCCAGAGCTTGACGACTGCTCTTTAGATCTTACTGTTGGGAGCACCCTTAAATTTAAAAGTGGGTGGGATACGATGTCCTTGGGAAGAATGGAATAATCTTGGCCTGAGTGGGAAATAGAAATGGAATTAAGCTAGCAAAGGAGGTTGGGTGCCGGATTGTGAGAAAGTTGTAAGAGTTGTTGACGATTGTGAATGTGGTAGAATAGAAGACCACAAGTTCTCTCTCTCTGTGTGTGTAGGTGTAGGCATGTAGGCCAGAGCTCGCTATAAATTATCTTTCTCTGTCACCCTCTACCTTACCCTGTTTTGAGACAGGGAATCTAACTGAACCTGGCGTTCATGTTTTAGCTATACTAACAAGCTAGGCAACTAAGGGATCTGATTCTCATTGCCCCATCTTGCTCCCAACTCCTACCCCCAGCACTGGGTTAAAAATTAACTTTGACATGCCCAACATTTATTTAAGTTACTTTTGTCTCTTTAGACGGTCTCACTATGTCCCCCTGGCTGGCTTGGAACTCACTATATAGACAAGGCTGACTTGAACTCGTAGAGATCTGCAGGGTGCGCTCACCACTCCCAGCCGGCACAGCGCTTATGTGGTTGCTGGGAACCTAAATTCAAGTCCTCAGGCTTGCTCATCTCTCCAGCTCAAGGCAGGCAGATACAGATTCATTCTCTCTCTCTCTCTCTCTCTCTCTCTCTCTCTCTCTCACCCTCCCTCCCTCCCCCCCTATGTATCTGTCTCCCTCCCTCTCTTTCTGGTCATTATTCCTGCCCCAACTTTAAGTTTTCATTTTTAATAAATTTAAAGTAGCTTCTCCAAGGAATGAAATAACCAGTTTTAGAATTTGTGCTGAAATACATAACTGTATGAGAAAGCATTATTATATTGTCTGGTTAAATTTTGACTTTGAGTTGCTCATAACTTGCCATTGCTGCTGGCATTTTCAATTTCCTTTATTTTATTTTCAAAGATATGAGATTAGACAGCTATAATATTTTACAACAAAGGTTAGTAAGACTTTTAATTTTGAATCATTATTTTAGGCCTTAGCATATGTCATAGGTAGTTTTCAAGAAAAAATTTTTGGTTACTAATTATACCAGGTACTGAAAATGTCAACAATAGTATCTGCAACCAATAAACTGAAGTTCTGTGTATTTAATAATTTTAAGAAGGCAAATTACTATTTTCCAAGGCAATATAAAACATTAGGAATAGACTTTGATACTTTGTGACATATTGGAAATTTGAATATTAAATCTCACATCATTAAAAACAGATATGCTAAATCATTTAATGGTCTACCTGTGTATAAATACAATTTTCAAGTTTAAGTACGTTTTTAATGTTGAAGTTTATCAGTAAATTTGATCATGGTTGCAGTGAATATGCAGCATCAAAGGAAGTCACCACCTCCCTTCAACCAGGGTGTCCCAGGTGCTGAGCTTACCTTCTACCCTCTAAGTTTTTATTTTGTGATAACGTCTGTTTAAGGCTGGATTACAAGTCTGCTCCACTTGTCTCTTCCAGAGTTTAATGTGCTTTTGAGGTTTTAGAGCTTTACAATACTGGAACCAAGGATTCTGGCTGTCATCCTTAGTATGAAGTATGATGTCTGATGTGTACTCCTAAGTATTCATTTTGCAAGAAAAATGATGAAGTCCAAGGCAGATCATTGATAGGCATCAGCCAATGTGACATTATAGTTTTTATTTTGTTTTGGGGTGTGTCAGGGGAGGAGAGAAGAAAGAGAGTGCACACTCGAGTGAGCATAACTGGTAGTCCAGGCATATGTGTGCCACAGAGTACAGGACAGTTTGGGGTGTCATACTACCCGTCCCCCTCTCACCACTGCTGCATGTGCTAGAGTCACCGCCTATGAGCTTCTGTCCCTGTCTCTCATCTCATGAGATTACAGGAGTTTGGTGCTACACCTGCTTTATGCAGGTTCTGGGGCAAACTCAAGTCCTCCTGCTTTTTCAACAAGTACTTTACCTGCATCTCCTCCTTAAATGCTTTTTTAGACACTATGTCCAGGGATTTTCATCTAACAGCACATTGGCAGAACTAAGTCATAAAGTATGGGAAACCTGTGCGTGAGTGGGGGGGGGGTTATGTTGCGGGAGGTCCTTCCGCCCCTCCAACCAATAGCGCGGTCTCTCAGCAGCTATTGGTTGGAGGGGCGGAAGGACCTCCCGCAACAGGGGTATGTGTGCATGCAAGTGTTGGTAGAGACCAGAGGCTGACCTCTTGTTCTTCTAGGGATGTCCACCTTCATTTTTTCAAGTGGGATCTTTCACTGGCCTGGAACTCACTGAGTAGGCTAAACTGGTTGCTCATTGAGTAGTGAGCTCCAGGGAATCTACCTGTCACTGCCTCCCCAGCACTGGGATTACAAGTGTGTGCCAACACATCCACGTCTTCTTGTTTGTAGATGGAAATTTCTGTCCTGCCTGGTCCCACAGCCATTCAGTCCCAAATAAACACAGAGGCTTATAGTAATTATAAACTGTTTAGCCCATTTCTCAGGCTTATTACTAACTCTTACAACTTAAATTAACCCATAATTCTTTCATAATTTTTATCTATGTTTAGCCACGTGGCTTACTACCTTTTCTCAGTAAGGCATTCTCATCTTGCTTCCTCTACTTCTGGATGACAACTGCATCTCTGCCTTTTCTCTTCCCAGAATTCTTCTAGTCTGGTCACCCCACTTATACTTCCTGCCTGGCTACTGGCCAGTCAGCATTTTATTAAACCAATACAAGTGACAAATATTTACAGTGCACAAGAGCATTCTCCCATAGTGTTTGTTTGCCTGCTTGCTTTTAATGTGGATGTTGGGGTCAGATTCAGATCCTCTGTATATCATGGTAAGCTCTTTTACCAACTGAAGAATAGAATTGTGAATGGTTTTTAGGTAGCTAGTTCACAAGAAAACAAACCTGTTTGATGACTTTTTTTTAAAAAAAGTAAACAGAAATAGAGGGTGTAGTAGGGAAGGCATTCAAGAAGTGAGTGCTGCTAATGAGCTAGAAAAAGGCATATACCCAAAGCATTGGGTTAACAGAGGTAGGCCCTTTGTAGAAGTTCACCAACCCCGTCTTCTCTAGCATTTGTAAGTCTTAGGCTGTTTTCATGGTACTCTGTTTCTTGCATGTTTCCTATCCTCTGCCAGCTGACTTCTTTTGTATGCTAATCTTGATGTTGTGACTATTCCTGCCACAACTAACCCCATGAAGTAACTATGTAAAGATAAATATATGGGGAGAAACTAGTGTTATCAATGGAAAGGAGAGTGAGGTGAGTAGTAAATCCAGGCACTACTGGGTAGGGAACTCAGTCTGTGAAACTATGAGGAGAAATCTCATGCCACTGATAATTAATGCTAATAGAGAGTTAAGAAGTCTTTGTCACTGCAAGCTACACACATGCTGATATACAAATATTAATATGTTTCTTATACTGTTTTACAACTCAGTGAGTGAAAGTTCTGGAAGGAAAGAGAAGGCTGATTAATGATCTTTAAGATCTAATTGACAGAAATTATTGTGTCCCATTGCCTGATCAAAGCCCTTGTATGATTCCTTAAAGATAAGGACTAACTCCTTGATATTGCCAAGAAGGGGACCTGTCTAGCCTGGTCTAGCCCTCTCTTCTTCCGTCCGTTCTCATCTCCAGTCGTGCTAGCTTTCAGTCCTCTTACTGGCGTCATCCTGTGCAGTCCATCTCTAATAATTGTGTGACACATGCTAACCCAGCTTGTTTTTCCATACACATTTATAGTCTTCAGAAGTCTGCTTGTGCCAGACAGGCCTTAGCTTGCTTGCCCTTGTTCAGATGCATTCCTGGAAAGGGCTGACCTCAGACAGCTGTTATTTCAAGTTTTCAATGTCAGTAGCTTTTAACTGTAGATGATGGATGTGAGATACTCCTGGGGAATGAGAGTGGACCAGAGACACGAGGTGTTCTTCCTCTAACCTTGAGCCTGTCTGGCAGCTCGGTTATCTTCCTTGGCCCATGCTTCTCACAGTACCACCATTCCAGGTTCTACTTGATGCTCATCCCTAATATTATTTCTTACCTCTATTCTTCAGTCTAAGGTTGATAGTGACCTCTTTTGCTGGTATCTGAGTTTTATTCTGTTATCTTGTTTGGAGCTCAGTTCTTCTCTTACCAACTAATCATTC